GCGCCCAAATGGGTGATGAAGACGGTGGGAAACGTACGGCTAGGTCAGCATCGCCGGCCACATTGTCAAACCATTCGTTTTGTGGTTCATACTTGATGTACGGGGAAGAGTCGTCAACTGCAGGAGATGAGTTTGAGTGCATTATGCCGGCACGCGAGACTGTACTCACTGGTAAAGTTGTACGCGTACGTCTTGGACATCGTGATAGCGTCTCACAAAGAGTAAAGTAAAGTCCAAAGAGAAAGTAAAAAGGTAAAAAAAAGTAAAAAAGTTGGCGATACGGGGAACCAGCCGTACACAACCAGCGAACGAGTGATCCGAAAGGGGTAAAAAGGCCAAAGAAAGAAAACGGCCGGGCCTTCAAGGCTAGAGAAAGAAGAGAAAAGAGTAAAAAGGAGTCTTGAAGACCTTCAAGAGTCGTCTGACGGTGGTGGTTGGGGTTCAAGTCAGCGCGGGAATGCGGGCGGTGCGTTTACGGCCCAAGAGGCTCAGTGCTAGAGCAGTGCCTCAGCCCGCTCCCCGTTCATTCCTGGTGAGAAATACACCTTGGAGTAAATGGTGCGGTGCTCTGGCGACGAGCTACTCCGATCAATTTCTCGTGGCGCGCGCAAAGGGCGAATATTCCAAAATATTATCTGTATAGCTTAGTATGAGAGTTGTATCGCATTTCGTGGTTATTTGCGATTTATTGGCGATTGGCTTGGCGTGGAGTATCGTGGAGGAGTCCGAGTTACGAGGCCGTCACCATTCAGTCCTCACTGGTACCAACTATTATGCTTTCGTCAACGGTGATAAGAAAATACATGTAGCATACATTGATCTATACAAATATGGCACATTTCTATTCAGCATAGTACTTGCCTTCCAAGATCGAAAGTGAAAACTCCCGTAAGCCACTGCAGTAGGGGCCCCTATTTGGCAGTGGCCACAGGGAGTTCTGAGATCATCACTCGAGGAAAAGTACTTGTAGAAGTAAAGTACTTTGAAAAAAGTCATAGTGAATCTCGGAAACACCAATTTCCTTCTTCAAGGTCCTTGGACAATCAGACCGCAGCATGCACGACCAATATAATCCTCCAAAGTGTCCTCCTTAGGAACAGCGTTACGACAGGCCAGATGTTCCCTATCTCTACAAACAGCCAGTGACGCCAAGATAGCTACAGAGGCGCCAGTAAAAAATAAAGAGTTGACCGGTCCAGACGAGTCGCTGTTCCCTGTGGGTATAAAGGCACTCAAAGGAACTATCATTAGAAAACTCTTGATTCATCGAGGAGGACACGAGGAGCCAGGTGGAGATGCGATAAAAGAGAGCCGCCACTTTGGCTGGCCAAACCTATCTCCATCCACCTTCACGTAAACCCAAAAGGTCATTCAACCCAGCCTTATCCAAGACCATTCTACACCCTTAGACCCATTAAGACCACCCAACGTTTCCTTGATTCAAGCAAGCCCGACAATGCCCGCTTCTCCGTTTCCAGCCACCTTCCTGGGCAACCCACCCGTGTGGAAACGCTCGGAATTGACTCCAGTGAGTATCCCCCTCACTTCGCGTTCAATTTTTGTCTCCAAATTCGCCCTTGGCTTGAATGACCGCTGACGACCAGCCACATCTAGTTCCCTTTCAAAATGGAACTGATCCCAATGAGCCCAGCCTACCTCTACGACCTCGAAAGGTTGGAGCAGGAAGAGGTTGATTTGGAGAGAAACTTGTTATGGTACCGAGTCCCATCACTTGAGAGCGTCGTGTTCTTCAAGTGGGTACCAGCCAGCCCAGCCACCATCATCTCCGATAGAGAAGACGACGACAAAGTCAAGGACGATGGGTCAGATGACGAGAAGGAAGAACTGTTCACACTCCAGCCTTGTAGCTACAAGGTGTCTCTCGCTTTCTACCAGAGACTTTTGTCCAGCGATTCGAGAGAAGACTTTCAAGCGCGTTTTATGCGGCAAATCGGGGTTGAACAAACCCCATTGATGGAAGGATCCCAGAGAGATTTTGTGTACGAGAGTTGGCTCGAGACGGAAGACACCAAAGACGACTACCCGGTTCCCCTTCCTACACCACCTGAAGATGATGATTTAGAAGGTGAAGGTTCAGATCCCGACACATTCGAGGTAAGCCTGCCATCCAGTTCAATCCTCCCGACCCCTAACAGTCAATCTAGGCATCCCGCTCTTCAGAAAGCCCACACACACCCAGGCCAGTTAAACGAGTATCTTTCGATACAAATGTCGGTAATGATGAAGACGATACCTGGGGAACAGGATACGAATCTGAATCTGCGACGAGCGAGGAAAGCATGGATGGGGTCTGGTTAAAGGTCCGGGTAAACGGACGACTCCGTAATCAGAGCTCCGTTGGAGACTTGACACCCACAGGGACACCCTCTCGTCCTCGCTTTAGAGAGCCTTGAGCCCGGAGCGGGAAGAAACACGCGCCACGTGCAATGAAACGTACGCAAGGGATGGACAAGGCTAATCTACTTTTAATCACCCCAATATACGCAGATATGTAGACACTTTGAATCTGGTTTCATTCCCCACCTACACTTCTCACAAGATACCACGCCTCGTGGTCAGAAATAGATTTACCACCTGGGCTTTCGATGTCAGCGTACGGTGAAGAATGCCAATTTCATTGATAGATTTAAGGTGGAGAGGCAGTTTCTTCGTTCATGTGTCAAGGGTTGTCGCAGGTGATATTCTACCGGTCGAGGTTGGGATCAAGTGTGCGTGAAGTGGTCGCGTATGGTAGTCACCTGTGCCGGAATGGATTCTCTAAATAACTCAGCTCTATAAATCATACAACCTCCGTAATTCAAGGTCATAGACTGAGATTCAAGCGTATGGAAGACACTCTCGTGGTCAGAATGCCAAATGGCGTGTTGTTCAAATAGATACAAAATAGATGTTTGTATAAATAAGAGCTTTGAGTTGAACTATGTCCCAACCAACCTTACTGGTGGTAATACGGCGCCCCCATATCCACAAGGATACAACGTTATTCGGCACTGAGAGACGCGAGAGGAACCAGCACCCAACTAGGGAAGTGATACCAGGGCGGTGTAAAGAGAAAATTGCTCCTGTTTGCTATATGTAGAACCGAAAGAGAGTCTCAGGACCATTCCCACCTTACCGTGTGGTATCAATGGGGCAAATGGATTGGTATTAGAAGGACACTTGAGGGCGTATGTGATGAACGGAGAAAAGCTCAAGAATGAGGACAAAATGACCATTTCGATCATTCGTTTGTCATCACCTCATCCAGTGATAAATCGGATGCAGAGGTATTCAAGATGAGCACACCGCACAGTATCAATAACCCCCCGGTCCTTCTAACAATCGACCTAGCCTTTTTTTTCAGAAGCGTGCCTCTAGCCACCAATGAGCAGTATTCAGAGGGGCCGAAGAATACAGTCTCCGCGAGAATGAGAGTCTATCGACATGCTCGCTATCATGTAGACTCCCGGAACAACTCATCGTCAATAACCTTCTGGTTCCAACAGATCCGTCCCAGGAGTCAACTCGTAGAAATGGCCAATGCAAAGAAACATTCGAAATATGGTACATAAAGTTCATGTCGTTCAAATAAACAGGCTGGAGTAGAAGAAGCATGGTCCGACTACTGCATCAATGTGCAAACAGTGATCCAAGAGAGGAAGGGAAGTCGCATTCGACCGTTCCCTTCTAACAATGGAGATCACTGTACGAATACACGGAGTGAGCGCACCGCACATGCTTCGTCCTCAAGTTGATTGCCTAAACTATCTGCCAAGTCGGGAATATTTGGCACAAAGGCAATGATGGCGCTTTAGGCATAGAACTCGTCGGTGAGCCTTGGGCTCAGGAGGACTGTCCGTTTGTATGAAAAAAGCACTACCCCAACCAATGCGAGCTAGGGCGCCAAAATTCATGTTTCCGGGATACATAATAAGGGATATATACTGGATTTTCACATCACCTTGCTTCTGGTCTTTCCGCTGGGTGGTTGTTCCATTAGAACGGAAAGACGTCACGGTTTGGGGTGAGCAGAGATAGTATAAAGCCTGCTAAGAGCTGATACGCGTAAATTTTCTTTGTGTGTGCTTTTTATGTCACAGTCCTCAGTCGGCGCAGTGATGGAATGGTGTGGTCGAGGTCAAGAACAAAGAGTGGCGGACAGGAACAAAACTAAGACTGGGCTCGATAAGCTTTGTGCAATTCACATTTATTGTAAAGCTTCAGCTACCTTTAATCAAGAATACAAATTTGCGCCCTGACGAAAGACATCTACGGGACGGTGAAGACACTATCTCGCACGAACCGCTAAAGGCACCGCTTCTGTACTCCAAGAAAACAAATCGTCGAGTGAGAGCAGAGGTCGAAACTGGTTCAAAAAGGCATTGCAGTGAGATGAAGCGTAGACAGGAAGGATGGCCCGAAACAATCGCCTCCATTCTACAGACTGGTATTTCTCGGTCCTAGCTCCGTTGCGGAGAACCAAATTCACCCATAGGACGGATGAACTCGCTGCTCCACTGCGCCGAGCGGGACCAGTATCGACCTCATGCACCACAATGTGTAAACCGTGACAAAGAGCTCCTGGGTGGGAAGTAAAGTCACCCCTCGATGACAGCCACCGCATCACTGACAAAGTTCTGTTCCATAAAATGGGCCAGGATCATAGATCCAAGTTTCATTAGCAAGTCCCGTAGTAATGCAGAGGGGTACGTCACTCTATTATATGACCAACCGCAATAACCATACGCTAAAAGTCGCAGAACGGCTGAGAGGAGAGCGTAGGTGAATAAGCTCGCTTTGACACTTTCAACCTAGCAAAGACACAGAGACTCCAGGCATCCCTGCAACCCTTTATACAAGGGTTGATATCCACCATGAACAGTCAACTGTGTCTGAGACCGGTATAGACATCTGCCTCCCGATTATAAAAGCGATTCTATTAGGAGGTGCTTGTGGGGTGGGTGGAATGAGGGTCAACAAGGTGAGACACAACACTCGACACGCCACATCGTAAGATACGATATATCTTGATTGTAAATAGCAAAGATCCAGTACGAGATTCGTCGTGGTGCGTACCCTTGTTGTCACTCCACTCAAATACCCTCAATATAGTTCAGTATAAGTCACTATGAACCAGAGCGCGAGCCGCTTGCGAGGAGTGGCAAACTAGACACCAGTAAGATAGCGTGGCATTCATATACACAGCGGTGAAGAGTGTTTGTCGTGGTCGAGGTCAAGTGTGTACAAGCGACAACACGCACACGACGCGCGACTCAATTCACCTCTGCTCGCCTTCACGCACTCACATCCTCATCACTCAAATCAGCACCCCTTTTGGTTATACGCACAATGCTTATTGTGCAATTACAGTCAAGTTTGTTCAGTAGGTAGTGATTTAATAGCACATCTAACCAAAAAAGTAATGAAGAAAAAAAAATATCAAAGGAAACAGTCGAAAGAAAAAAGAGGTCAGCAGAGCGATACACTCTGTACATTCCAGACGAGCTTGACAATCCTAGTCAAGGCTCGTCGATGAAGACCAATCGGAGAAAGTAGAAACACAAAAAGTTGCA